GGAGTGGCCACTGCACTCCAATCTGGGCGACAGAGTGAGACTCCAACTCAAAAAAACAAACCAAAACAAAACAAAAAAAAATAAATGAAAAAATTAGCCGGGCATGGTGATGCATGCCTGTGGTTCCAGCTACTTGGAAGGATGAGGTAGAAGGATCTCCTGAGGCCAGCAGGTCAAGATTGTGGAGGCCATGAGTGTGCCACTGCACTCCAGCCTGGGCGAGAGTGAGATTCCGACTCAAAAAACAAAACAACTGTAAGAATGCATTTGGAAGTAGTGGGAAACTGTCAGGGGAGGGAGGGGGCATACCTCACCAACAAGGGTACCTGCGTAAAATGTCTGTATACCTAACCCTGAACTGTACCCCACATCTTTAATAATTAAAAAAATAAATAATTAAAACAAAAAAATGTAATTGCTAATATAGCCCTTGAGTCTATGGGCTGAAGGCCCTTTAGTGGAGTCCGGCCTTGTACTGAGTGGGTTTTTTTTGTTGTTTTTTTGTTTTTGAGTTGGAGTCTCACTGTCACCCAGGCAGGAGTGCAGTGGCATACTCACGGCAGTCTCGACCTGTTGGGCTCAAGCGATCCTTCTGCCTCAGCCTTCCAAGTAATTGGAATTACAGGCACATGCTACATGACTGGCTAATTTTTTGATTTTTGTAGAGATGAGATCTCGCCAAGTTGCCCAGACTGGTCTCAAACCCGTGGGCTCAGGCAATCCTCTCACCTCAGTCTCCCAAAGTGCTGGGATTATAGGCATGAGCCACCACGTCTGGTCAAATTGTAATTATTGAGTTGGAGTCTCACTGTTGCCCAGGCTGGAGTGCAGTGGCATGACAGCCTTGACCTGCTGGGCTCAGGCCACCCTTCTGCCTCAGTCTTCCAAGTAGCTGGAATTACAGGCACACACCACCACGCCTGGATAATTTTTTATGGTAGAGATGTTGTCTTGCCAGGTTGCCCTGGTTGGTCTCAAACCCATGGGCTTAGTCACTCCTCTCACCTCAGCCTCCCAAAGTGCTGGGATGACAGGCATGAGCCACCGCACCAGGCCAAGCAGTCCAGGCATCTAGGATCTTTCATACCCATAATCATGGTCCTAAAGGCCCTGGAGCATGTGTAACCTTAGGATTGGCGTAGTTCTCAGGGAGCATGTGGAACCCCAAGGAGTTGTGTTTGAGTCTGGGGGGCAATTCCAAAGGCTCAGCAAGCTGGAAAGTTACAGACCCTAGGCCCTTCTCTCCACCTATAACTGCTCAGGAGCCATGACCTCCTGGGACAGTCTGAAGGACTGAGATGGAAACAGGGAGTCAGAAACCACCAATCCTGACACCAACAGGATTCTCCTCCTTGTGAAGGTTCAAGAAGCCTGCCTGTTGTGAGGTAAAATCTTTGGTTGTCTTCCACTCTTAGCTCTAAAGCTTCTACATGCATTACCTAGAAGGGAACAAAGGCTAGTCTTATAAGGTCTGGTGGAAGGAACAGCCAGACCAGAGAAACTTGGTCAGGTCCCTCCTCAGCCCAGTTTCCATCTATCAAACACCACCTCTTTTTTTTTTTCTTTTGAGTTAGAGTCCCACTCTGTTGCCCAGACTGGAGTGCAATGGCCACTCCCGGCCACTGCAGCCTCGACCTGCTGGGCTCTGGCGATCCTTCCGCCTCAGCCTTCCAAGTAGCTGGAACTACAGACGCGCACTGCCATGCCCGGCTCATTTTGATTTATTGTAGAGATGAGGTCTCGCCAAGTTGCCCAGGCAGGTCTCGAACCCGCGGGCTCAGGCAAATCCACTCACCTCAGCCTCCCAAAGGCATGGGATTACAGGCTGAGCCACCGAGCCCAGCAAACACTACCTCTTAACCTCAATACTTACTTCTTGCATCCTAGCTCTTAAAGGAGGGAAGGGGGTAAGACCTGGGCATTTCCTTTGCCACTGGGCCAATAAAGTTGGCATCCAAGTAGTCCAGTCAATAAGAAAATGCTGCCCCCAAGCAAACTTGAAGGGACCACTTCACAGAGGCCCCCCTGGGGGGACATGGGCTCCCAAGTGTGTATGATGTGTATGTAGGAGGTAAGGAAGGTCTGCTGGACTGCCCTCACACTACACGTGGCAACAGAGTGAAGAGCTCTGAGGGAGGTGGCTTCCGTAAATGAAGGAGCAATGCAGAAGCCAAAGAAAGCTGCAGTCCAAAGGTGAGGTAACAGGCAAAGAGCAGTCAGGCAGGTGAAAGAGACCCCAGACCCCAACTCAGTTCTTCACTTCCTCCACTCCTAGGAGTTGCTGCCCTCCTGGGCACCACCACCCAGTGGCACACTCAGAGCAGAGGAAGTTACTGGGTCCCAAGAAGGAGAGGCTTATCTAGGTGAAGATCCCAGGCTAGCACCAGGCCCTTCTGCAAGACCGACTATCCCCACAGTCTGAGGCATGGCCATGTGCCATTCTTTTTTTTTTTTTGAGTTGGAGTCTCACTCTGTCGACCAGACT